AGTGAGCCTCCGGGGCAAGGGACTCTCTGAGGTCAGCATGCTGGGGGCACTCCCAATACCTGTGGCGTAAATGGTCTGGTTGACCACACCAAGGGCATTCGTCAGTTTGTTCAGTCCATTTGGATTTGTAGCTTTCAGTGAAGAGGGACCCCGCCAAGCTCAGCCGAAACAAAGCTTGGTCATCCGCGGTGAGCTTTGCCAAAGCACGTCGGGTGGTCACCACATCAACCTGCCACAGACCATGGAACTCATGGCGGTGGTGAACCTTCGAAGAGACAAGGTGATTCCAAGCCCATTGCAGTCTGAGCTCAACCTCAGCAGGATTGGAGAGGGTGAGTTGAAATTTGCCAAATTGGTCAACCAAGGCCCCATCAAGCGCAACGGTCAATCCAACATGCTGAAGACGACCCAACACAATAGAAGCAAGAGAGTTGGGGGGTAAGTCCAAATCCCCGGCAGCAAGCGGTGCAACAACAGAAGACCAGAAGTCAGCTGCACATTGTTGACGCACGGCACGACAAGTCCACAGCAGGGCGACAAGTTGGGGGTCCACAGCCGGCTCAACTAACCCAAGCAACAGAAAGGAGTTGACCCCAGGACGCTGACAGCCCAAAGCTTTGGTGGCTTTGCGACGCAAGTCAGTCCAAATGTGATCTCCAAGAGGAGCGCTGGAAATGGCATGAAGGCCACGTGGCCATGCAGCCGACCGCAACATCCAAACTTTGGCAGCATATCTGGCTTTACTGGAAGCAAGTTTAGGCCAGAAGTCATCAAGGGCATCTAACCGCTGGGTCACTGTGTGGTTTGTGTGGCGGCGTGAAATGCCAAGGTGGCCACCCAGTTCACGGGCTTGATGCAACACTTGGAGCCCCCCGGTCCGCATGACACGGCGAATCTCACCAGTAGTGGCCCACCCAAAGGTCTTCTTCCGATCAACTGTCAGGTCAAGCAAGGAGGCAAAACCTTCCAAAGCTTCAAGTTGGCGAACAGCCACATCATGGTCCCAAGTAAAGGTCTGCCAATCGTCAACGTAAGACAAAACACGTACAGAAGGCACCTGGACACGCATCCAACATGCGAAAACATGGTCAACCAGCAACATACCAAAGACGCTGAGCCCGCACCCTTCAGCAAGTCCAGTCGACGTATGGAAGCCAGCAGACAAGGAATCACGGACTTTGAAGTGCCTGCACATACTTGCCAACGCCCCAGCCCAGGCAGTGGTCACTTCAGGAGGGGTTCCAACCAAGACAGCAAAACACAAGGCAGGGTACCTAGGTATGCAGTTGAAGCATTTCTCGATGTCTGCCGACACCCCACACAATGGCCGTCCAGCTGCATAAGCTGCTTCAATTTGTTGCATCATGAAGTGCCACAAGTCGGCGGCCTGACGACCCTGTCTGTTGCCAAAGACACCATCATCCACCCATGCTTCTGCTTGTTGGAGCAAGTACCTGGATTGGACACTGGACCAGATCCTGTACGGCAACCCAAAGATGGTTATGGGGCGGAATTCCTCCACCGCGGAGGCACCCTCTCGTTTTGCTAGTGACTGGACCTTTCCGGCAAGAAGTTGCCGAGGCCAACATCCATCAGATTCTGCACGCTGAATCATTTGGGTCAAACAGTCCAAAGTGCCAGGGTCAGCTTGAAGTAAATCCACCCGGCTGACCCCATCAAGCCCAGTGGCAGAACGCTTCTTCTTACGCTGGCATTCGGCAAGGAACAGCTCAGGCGTGACCTGAAGGTGGGGAACAGGAGCAGGCCGCAGAACATGCTTGGCAAAGTCAATCACTTCAGTCCAATGGGTGAAAGGAACCTGATCGTGACGACACCAACGTTGGCGCCACTGCTCATGAAAGGCTGCAAAGATGGTTTGTAGGTCACCAATTGGTTGGCGTTGGACAACCACAGAACCGACTTGGCAAGCAGTGACATCTTCAACCCAAATCTTGTCATGTTCAGCATGGATCACATTACATTGCTGACCTGCAATCCAAACCGGAAGAGATGGGGAAGTCCAATGGGCTTATCCAACACAACCGCACTTTCGGAGGCTTCGACCTGTTCAACAACTGCGGCAACAGAATGCACCAGGGAGTCGACGGGTGCAGCAGACGGCCTGGCAACTTCCCTGAAGACCAGATTTCTGTCCTGCTCATGTTGAGCTCGGCGATGGGCAACTCGAGCAGCATTCAGTCGGCTCTCAAGGAGTCTGACTTCAGCAAGAACAGCGTCATAGATCTGATGGGCCACATTGGACGGGGGGCAAAACTGAGGAATGACACACGGATCCAGAGGACTGCGGTATTGGCGACAAGTCCACCAATCAGAAAAAGAAGGCGAAAATCCAGGTGCCTTAAGGATGGAAATCCAAAGTCCAAAACCATGAAGGGGATCATTACACCCAAGGCGTTGCTTGTTGTCAACCCATCTGCAGTAGTTTTGCAACCTCCTCAATTGACGGAACTGTTTGGCATGCATAGCAGGAAATCCAAAGAAGGATGGCTGCACCCCATGACGTTTGCCTTGCCTAAGGGGGGCCTGACGCCCAACAATCTTCTGTGGCTTGGTCTGTTGCCCGCGTCCTTGCATAGAAGGGAGCCAGTCAGGAGCCAACGCTTGTTCAGCTTGGGTTTCACGCTGAGCCCAAAGTGCAGCATACTGAGCAGTAGGGTCAGCAGGACTCGCAAAAGGCACAAGCTCCGACAGTGGAGGCACACAAGTCCAATCAACTGGTTTGGGACAAGGCCATGGAAACCGTTCAAGCTGTTGGACACCACCAGCAAACTCCGCAATCAAAAGAGAGTGGTCAGCAAAGGTAGTGTCACAAAACTGCACACCTCGAAACCCAAGAGCCAACTCAGGGGAAAGCCACAGAAAGTCCTTGTGAGACACCTGTTTGCATGTAGGCCTGATGGGGGCCCCGGTTTGAAACTGATGAAGTTCCTGCACTTCAACCCAACCTGCTGCTCGAAGCTTGAGAGTCACCGCCAAGGAATCCAATGTGAAATTCCAATCACCGCACATGAACCTAGGGCCTGGCATCGACTGCATATGATTGAAGGCAAAGTCAAGCATGAGCTCTGTCTTTTCATGCGCCTGGTGATGAGTTTTGCCTTCTGGATACCCATACAAAACTGCGCCTGAGACCCATGAAGCTGCTGTGAAGAAGGAGCCAAACTGGAGCCTTCCAGATTCGTAAAGGTCAGGGGGCCATGGGGTGGCCATGGTTCTGCACGGCACTGTTGACAGGTAAGCCACTCCAGCCCAACTGCCTGCATCACTGGTGGTACGTGGGGAGACAGGCGCTCCCGTCAAAACATGCTTGAAGTCCGACTGCATAGCCCGAAGGCTTGATTGCAAATTACGTTTTGATCCCTTGGTGAGGTGTGTCTCGCTCACTGCAAGCACTGTGGACTTGATCCCGCCGACTATGTGGTGCTTTGCTTGCAATCCGGATGGATTGCAGATCCCTATCGACCAAGCAGGTTCAGTGTCAGGTCCTGGAACACGTGCTTCCCCAACGCGGCACATCAACAAGGCAAAAAGGCAAAAGAACGCCCGGAAAGGTCTGAAAGACCAAGGGGTCACCCTGGGTTTGGGCGAGGCATCAGGGCCCCCGATTTTTCACTCCGTTCGAGGTTTCTTGGAAAGGATGCTTTCCAACCGAGTCATCTGGTCAGTCAGCATGTTCTGCATCTGCTTCGACTGAAGGCCCATCTGGACCAGCATCTGTTGCTGCAAGGATTGGACCTGTGCAGCACTCTGGGCATGGTTGTCTTTGACCGTAGTCTCCAAGTTGGTCTGGCGACTGGTCAGCATGTGCATCTGCTGCTCCAATGCAGTGAGCCGCTGGTCGTGCTCGTCGGTCTCCATCTTGTCAGGCCCTGTTGGTAGCTTGGCCAACAGGTTCTGCTCCAATCGCTGTTCAAGCTCATGGATAACATGTGCCGCAGGCTGGGCAGGAGCCGCAGGTGGAGCAGATGCAATGGCTTTGGACCATGGGTCTTGGGTCAACCACGGGCCGGTGGTTTGGAACATTTTTTCCATATATTGGGAATTTCATCATCCCAACTGACGAACTCTTTTTTAGAGGGGTAGATTGAAACCACCAACCAGATATTATTCCATATTATTCCCATATAAATGCTGATGTATCCCATGTTATTCCATATTATTTCCATATACCTCAGATATTACACCTCTATTATAAATGGTGATTTTCAACGGTATATTATAATGGAGATGATTATAGTATATTATAATCCATTCTTATGGGAATCCAACCAGCACTGGGTATGGAATAGGCCCTGAGCTGTCCTAAGGGCGACACCGTTTTTCCGATACCCTTTAGGAAGCAAACATGGCAATGGGAAATCCCTTATCAAAAGAAGATGTTATGGGATTTTCACCTGTAAATGAGGGAGTTTCTATTGCCATGTTTGATTGCCGGAGGACAAATTCTTGCGTGAATCCTTACCCTCTGGTAAAGTAATAGCATAGCTATGGAAAATCACCATCGTTAAGTTCGGTAAATCAACGAACTAAATGGGCCATTTTAGCTATGGAAGAAATTACCAGAGGGTAGCTAAGCACATTTTTGTGATGGTTGGGTAAAAAACCCTCATGAGAATCTCTACGAAAGACGGTTCTGCAAATCCGGCACCACCAAAACTATGGTTGAACCCCTACAAACTATATTAATCAATGGGATAAACCACCTATCAGCTGGTGCAAGATCTATTCCATCCACTGTATGTGTGTTTACATTGTCATTCACCACCATTCTATAATGAACCACCATGAGGATATGGATGGATATGGAGGTTTCCTAAGTCATGGGGCTACTCCCAAATCATCCAGTCGTCATGAACGATCATCTTTAAAACATGTTATACTGGTTGGTGGTTTGGAACAGCCCGGGGCTCAAAACCTCCCAGATCAGCGGTGGGCTGGTCTTACCAATTTTGAGCTGTTTTGTTTCACTTCGTTTTGCCATGGATTTGGGATGGGACAAACATGTCGATGCCACGAACCTCTTCATTCCTAACTGGTTTGCTACAGAGAGGGGAACAAAGATTTCTGTTGTGGTTGACTGTTTGACACACACCCCGGAACTTATCCTTGCTGCCTCCGTGCCTGACGGTCAGAAAATCAGGTTGATCGGTGCCATTGATGGTGGTGTCCAGGGCTGTCGCAGAATGTCCGTGTTTGGGGCTGTGCTGGATTTTCCCCGTGACATGCCTGGTGTGGTGGACTTGTTGCTGACTGACTCCACTTCTGTCTTCGCCCATGGATTGCGTCCTGTCAAAGAAATGGTTCGTCTGGTTGAGCTGTGTGCTGGTGCAGCTTGCTCTAGTGTTGGACTTTCGTCTGCAGGTTTTTCCCATGTGGCCAGTGTCGAGTGGCGTGCCCCTTTTGTCCAGTTGCACAGGTCTTTGCACCCTGGGGTTCCAGTTATTGAAGGTGACATCAATGATCCTGAATGCATCCGTGACTTGATGAAGCAGGTGGACCCGCCGTTCTGCCTTATGTCTGGTATTGCCTGTCAACCATACTCCTCCGGGGGCAGTCAGTCTGGGTCAGAGGATGTCAGGTCCAACACACTGCCTGCTACGCTCAAGGCATGCTACTTGTGTCAGTCGCCTCTGTTGATCATTGAATGCGTGACTCAGGCACGAACGAACAACTTTGTCAAAGCTCAGGTCCAGATGTTGGAAACTCTTGGGTACACCCTGACGGAAGTGTCGTTGAAACTTGAAGACCAATGGGTTGCCCGGAGGTATAGATGGTGGTTGGTTGCTGCTCATGCCAGCCTTGGGCCCATCTCCCTCCCATCATGGCCTTTGAGTCCTAAGTTGCATGTCCGTGACTTGATGCCCTTTGTCAAGCAATGGCCTGACGATGTCATGCATGAGCTGATGTTGACGCAACATGAGATTCAGCAGTTCACGTTGGATGGATCAGCATTGAGAAAGTATGTCACTCAACTTGATGGCAAGCTTCCAACCTGTTTGCATGCATGGGGATCGCAAGCATCGGCATGTCCTTGCGGCTGCAGACAACAGCAGTTCAGTGCCAACCTGATTCAACAGAGAGGTATTTATGCCCAGTTGCTTCCTGTTCAGGTACCTGACGGCCATCCATGCTACCGGCACTTTCACCCATGTGAGCTTGCCTTACTGAATGCAATGCCTCCACCTGCAGGATGGATGTCAACTGACAGGCCGGACTTGAAGCTGTGCTTGTGTGCCATCGGCCAGTTAGCCAGTCCACTGCAATCGTTGTGGGTAGGAGCTTGTGTCTTGAGTCAAGTGCACCGCGTGCTCAACATGCCTGTCACAGACCCGCTGGATTTGTTGCAAGAGTTCAAGCGCGACCTGTTTGTCTGTGCTCGTGACATGTTCCCCAATCTCCCTGCACCCGTGTCTGCTGACCTTTGGGTTCACTTGCAGCACCCTGACAACACTGAGGTACGTGTTTTGGTCCAAGCCAATTCCACTTTGGGAGACTTGTGCAAAGCTGAGGCCAGCCTGACGCATCAATGCCTGCATGGACAGTGGTGTGATGCTTCCTCTGGTGCTCCCTTGGACCAATCGGATCTTGTCGCCGGGCGCTGTCTGCGTATGATGACAGGTGTAGATGCTTCTTTGGATTCTGTGCGTTTGTGTCCCAATGAACTTTCATGCGCAGCCGATTTGACAGGGGATGTGGATTCGATGGACTTGAGCTCTGGACTTAGCTCCCCCTGTGCTGTGCCGTTGCCTAGCAGTCTGGTTACGCACCCTGTGGATTCCACGCCTGACACTTTGTCTGGAGTTTTGCATTTGTCCGGTGTCCAATTGGCCTCCTTGATTCCCCCGTTGGTCACCGAAGTTCAGACCGGTCTTATGTTGCACCAAACGCTTGCAAGGCTTGAATCTAGACTGGCCATCTTGCAAAATGAAGGTCCAGCCATGGGAGATGATGAGCTTACACTGCATGCTGAATCGATTGTGCGCATGTCTGGGCGGTCTGATGTTGGCTTCTTGGATCCGTTGTTGGCCACTGGATGGTTACAACTTGGTTCTCCTGACAAGGTCAAAGATTGGATGGCTCAGTGCCCTGGCATCTCAACCATTGCTAGCGCGGTGCTGTTTGAAGGCCATTGGATTCCTGTTGTTTGGACTGATGGTTTGACGGAGGTGCATGTCTCGATTTGGGAACACCAAGATTTTGCTGTGGACTTCCTCTGCCCTCTTCATGGCATGATCAGCCAGGCTTGGGGTAAACCAAGGTTCTCTGTGGCTTGTTCTCGGCGCACCTTTTCAAAAGAGTGCTGTGGCAGTGCGGTCATTGCGTTCTTTGCCCACCGCTTCCTTGCCCGTGATTTGCCAAAGACTTGTGAAGAGCTGTTGGAATTGCACATCGAATTGAAGACCAGTTTCGAAGCAGCTTTGCGTGCAGCCACTGAGGTTCCGAAACCATGGTGTTGGGGTTTAGGTCAGCCTGATGTCCTCCTTTTGGTCAGTGCCCTTTTACAAACACATGGTGTCCCTCCTGCTCAGGTTGCTGTCCGTGCCAAACTTGTCCTGCAGTCGCTTGGTAGGAATGAAGTTCAGAAAGCAGTTGTTGGAGTTGCTCCATGGAAGTCATTAAAAGCACTTGCCAACCAGCAATCCCCGCCTTTGCAGCTGGTGTTGCCTGATGAATTGGCACAGGTGTCGGCAGCCAAGTCTGGACCCAAGCCCAAACGGTCCAACAATGGTCAGAAGCTCCAGCCCACGCGTCCAGCCGAGCTGGATCCTGCCAAGCTTGAGGTCGATCATGGTACGTTTTGCCTGGAAGATGACACACCTGTGGGACAGATCCAATTTGCATCAGTGGGCCCTTTGTCCACCGGTGTCGCTTTGGCTAACTATCAGGAAGCTTTGCCCTTTTTGCAAGCCGGCAAGTATGTCACTCCGTCTGGACTTTCGCTTTTGGTCTTGCAGCCACCTGTGGACTTTCAGACTGCCCTGCCGTGGTCAACTGTGAGATTTGCTGCCCGGTGCTCTGCCAACCATGAACCAATGCTGTTGTCAGGTATCTTAGTTCAGCTGGGGCATAAGATGATCTCCTTGTTTCGAGCCAGGAATCTGCCTGCACTTCTTGCTGTCGAGGTGGCATGTGCCAAAGTTACTGTGTTCAGAGACCAATGGGATGGATCATGGGAAGACTTTGCAGCCAAACCAGTTAAGCACATTTTGCAGCTGTTGCCTGGTTTACAGACATGCCGAGCTGGAGCTGCCTGCTCCTGTGTCAGCTGGCATCCGACGGAAGACCAAACGCATGATGCCCTGCTGGATGTGTATCGACGTCAGTTCTTCACTGAGGCTGGGAGACCCGTTAAGTGGGAGAGAGCCGAATCGTTCTCTGTCATGATCCGGTACATCAAGGGTTTGGAAATGCAGGTGCTTGGACTCAGTGGGCAGCATGGCCTGTACATAGAGCCCAAGACAGAAGATGGCATGAAACCGAGTTCTGAGTTCCAGGTGATTTGGCTGCCCCAAACAGACTTCCAAGGTGCCACCCACAAAGCCAAATGCCAGGTCCATTGCCTTGGACTTGCTAGGACGGGTCGTCGTTTTGGGTTGAGGGTGCCAGTAGCCCACTTTCAAGAAACCTTCACCAATGTCAAGCCCGATGCTGTGTTTCTGGCCCCTGGAAGCCGTCGCCTGTTTGTCTGTGGTCCTTGGCCTTATGGTTCTGACCGCCGAAGCCTGGCAAAGATCTTGAAAGGAGGAGGATGGGAGTGCAGGCCTTTGCAGCCACAGTCTCATGTGCCCGGAGGTCTGATGTGGTCGATCCAGGCTGTGACCGACCCTCCATCCAATGTCTTGACTATGCAACATGGCCAGGTCGTGATCTCCGCTCGGGATGGCATGTCTGGTCTGTCAGAGCCGGGTCACCAAGTTGTCGGTCAGGCCAAAACCGTCCAGCTTTGTCTTGCGTCCGATGCTGTTGCACCTAACCAGATATTGTAATCATCTCCAAGAAAATACAAGGTAGCATCATCCCCAAAATATACAGGCTAGTATAACCAACAAATTAATCACCAACCAACAGGGTGTCTTGCAACCACTGTTCATATGTGGTGTTTGAACCTCCATGTAATGGTATAAAGGATTATAAAGGCCTGGTATGGCCTGGTATCATAAACTGTATAACATAAGACAGCGGTGGCTCTAACAGGTGCCAACTCCAACTGGTGCCAAAGGTGTGAAAGAATACCAAAGGATTGGCTCGACTCCAACTGTTGCAAGTCCTCTACTTGATACATCTTGATACCACTCGTTCGCCATGGCGGGTGCAGCCTCGCCTGAGTTCCATTCCATGGTCGCCGTCTTTGTTTTTTCTTCGCAGCGAGAGTATCCCAAACGTAGACTTCCTCCGTAAAATGAACTATCCAAATATAGAACAACTGACCAAGGAGATCACGGTTGTACGCAGACATCACTGGCGTCTCTGGAGGAAGCCGACTGAGGCCATTCCCTCACCACGAGGTGGACACCCGTTCTTCTCCACCAGACCATAATCCCATAGTCGTTTAAGATCCTTTGACGTTTGAGCCATGGTCGTAACATGTCGTAACAATCCCCCAACATTGGACCGTATACCCAGACTGACATCAGCAAACAGAATCGTCAAACCAAGGCATTTCAATACATCTCAATGCCATTCAATGCCTACATATGCCTACATATGCCTACATCAAACCACACCAACCCTCACAATCCAACAAACAATCACACAAACACACATGATCACACATGTCCTTTCAATTTAATTCAGTTCCTATCATGTGCTGGTAATTGCTGGTATGTATTGTTATGTATTGGCAATTGTTGGTATGTATTATTTTGTATTGGCAATTACTGGTATGTACTGATATGTACTGATTGTGGATTATTGTGGCATATTGTGACTATTTGGGACTGCCACAGCAAAATCATACAAAATCATAAGTCATTTGACATTATGGGCATCTAACATCATCTAGCCAATCCAGATCTATCCATATCTATCCAGTGTATTTGCTGCAACATGTTGCAACCATTGCAACATTTTGCAACAGTGTATGATCAATTTCAATCTGTTGCTGATTGTAGTTCAATGTACTTGATATTAGTGGATATGAGTTGATTGTATTTGATTTTACCATTTTGTACCTGTTTGACATTGTATGACATTGCATGACATTGTATGACATTGTATGACATTGTATGACATTGATTGAATTTGCTTGACGTTGTTTGGTATTCATTAATCATTAAATCAAATGGACGTCAATGATTCCATTCAATATCATTCAATCCTGTTTGCCCGATCAGTTTTGTCTCCAAAGGAGATTGAGATACTTTGAGATATAATTATATATTTAGCGAATAGTAATTCATTTTACATAATTCCCGAGAGCGTCTGAGCGCAGGGTTCTTCCAATAGTGGGGGCCTGTAAAACATCTTCTCATCTTCACATCTCATCATCACATCTTCTCATCTTCACATCTTCTCATCTTCACATCTTCTCACATCTTCTCATCTTCTTACATCTTCTCATCTTCACATCTTCTCATCTTCACATCTTCTCACCTTCACATCTTGTCACCTTCTCACCTTCACATCTTCTCATCTTCTCATCTTCACATCTTCTCACCTTCACATCTTCTCACATCTTCTCACATCTTCTCACATCTTCTCACATCTTCTCACATCTTCTCACATCTTCTTTCATCTTCTCTCACATCTTCTCACATCTTCTCACATCTTCTCACACCTCTTGCCCTCTTGCCCTCTTGCCCTCTTGCCTTCTTGCCCTCTTGTCCTCTTGCCCTCTTGCCCTCTTGCCCTCTTGCCTTCTTGCCCTCTCCTTCTTTTCTATTTCTCTTTTGAAGGCGGGAGCAGGGGCAGTGGCAACGAGACGCCACGAAACGCAACCCTTTCGCACGAAATGAGGTTCGATCGTCAAAAACTGAGGAAAAATTACGAGTTGCAAGTGGCCCCGGGCAACCCTTTCGCACGAAATGAGGTTCGATCGTCAAAAACTGAGGAAAAATTGCGATTTCCAACTTGTCCGCGCAACCCTTTCGCACGAAATGGGGTTCGATCGTCAAAAACTGAGGAAAAATTGCGATTTCCAACTTGTCCGCGCAACCCTTTCGCACGAAATGAGGTTCGATCGTCAAAAACTGAGGTAAAATGGCGATTTCCAAGTCGTCCCGCGAAACCTTTCGCACGAAATGAGGTTCGATCGTCAAAAACTGAGGAAAAATTGCGATTTCAAGTGGTCCGGCGCAACCCTTTCGCACGAAATGAGGCTCGATCGTCAAAAACTGAGGAAAAATTGCGATTTCAAGTGGTGGTTCCGGCGCAACCTTTCTTTCGCACGAAATGAGGCTCGATCGTCAAAAACTGAGGAAAAATTGCGATTTCCAAGGTGCAATCGCCAGCCTTTCGCACGAAATGAGGTTCGATCGTCAAAAACTGAGGAAAAATTGCGATTTCCAACTTGTCCGCGCAACTTTTTCGCACGAAATGAGGTTCGATCGTCAAAGCTTCTGTGTGTAAAAGAGTCTGTGTGTAAAAGCATCTGTGTGTAAAAGAGTCTGTGTGCAAAAGCGTCTGTGTGTAAAAGCTTCTGTGTGTAAAAGCTTCTGTGTGTAACAGCGTCTGTGTGTAAACGCGTCTGTGTGTAAAAGAGTCTGTGTGTAAAAGCGTCTGTGTGTAAAAGTGTTTGTGTGTAAAAGTGTTTGTGTGTAAAAGCATTTGTGGTGTAAAAGCGTCTGTGTGTAAAAGTGTTTGTGTGTAAAAGCGTCTGTGTGAAAAAGCGTCTGTGTGTAAAAGCTTCTGTGTGTAAAAGCTTCTGTGTGTAAAAGCGTCTGTGTGTAAAAGCGTCTGTGTGTCAAAGCGTCTGTGTGTAAAAGTGTTTCTGTGTAAAAGTGCTTGTGTGTAAAAGTGTTTGTGAGCTCTGTGTGTAAAAGCGTCTGTGTGTAAAAGCGTCTGTGTGTAAAAGCGTCTGTGTGTAAAAGCGTTTGTGTGTAAAAGCGTCTGTGTGTAAAAGAGTCTGTGTGAAAGCATCTGTGTGTAAAAGCTTCTGTGTGTAAAAGCGTCTGTGTCTAAAAGGTCTGTGTGTAAAAGCGTCTGTGTGTAAAAGTTTCTGTGTGTAAAAGCGTTTGCGTGCAAAAGCTTCTGTGTGCAAAAGCGTCTGTGTGTAAAAATGTTTGTGTGTAAAAGTGTTTGTGTGTAAAAGTGTTTGTGTGTAAAAGCATTTGTGGTGTAAAGCGTCTGTGTGTAAAAGTGTTTGTGTGTAAAAGCGTCTGTGTGTAAAAGCGTCTGTGTTTAAAATGTGTGTAAAAGCGTCTGTGTAAAAGCGTGTGTGTAAAAGCGTCGTAAAAGCTGTGTGTAAAAGCGTTTGTGTGTAAAAAAAGCGTTTGCAAAAGCTTCTGTGTGCAAAAGCGTCTGTGTGTAAAAATGTTTGTGTGTGAAAAGTGTTTGTGTGTAAAAGTGTTTGTGTGTAAAAGCATTGTTGTGTAAAAGCGTCTGTGTGTAAAAGTGTTTGTGTGTAAAAGCGTCTGTGTGTAAAAGCGTCTGTGTTTAAAAGCTTCTGTGTGTAAAAGCGTCTGTGTGTAAAAGCGTCTGCGTGTAAAAGTCTCTGTGTGTAAAAGCGTCTGTGTGTAAAAGTGTTCTGTGTGTAAAAATGTTGTGTGTAAAAGTGTTTGTGTGTAAAAGTGTTTGTGTGTAAAAGTGTTTGTGTGTAAAATGTGTGTAAAAGCGTCTGTGTGTTAATGCGTATGTGTGTAAAAGCGTCTGTGTGTAAAAGTGTCTGTGTGTAAAAGTGTCTGTGTGTAAAAGTCTCTGTGTGTAAAAGCGTCTGTGTGTAAAAGCGTCTGTGTGTAAAAGCTCTGTGTGTAAAAGCGTCTGTGTGTATAATAAAAGCGTCTGTTTGTAAAAGGTTTTGTGCGTAAAAGCGTCTGTCTGTAACTTTACGAAAGATACGATGCAAACTATTGTCTTGTACTTGTAATATATTGTTTTGCTACTACTCTTCTCGTCTGCTTATAATACATCTTTAATATATTGTCTTGTAATTTAGTGTCTACATACTAACAACAGAAGACTCTGCTCCTCTACGCTCTCGGGCCATCCGTCGTCTAGTGTTAATCAATAAAGATTACTGATGTTTAACTCAATGATTAACCCAAGGCTAAGCCCTAATCTCCTACTACTGCATGCGTGCGCGCGCATTTTGACCCTAAAAGCACGGAGACCTACGCTCTGTGAAGAATCAACAAGGGTACAAGTATGTACAAGTCAACATAAATGGAGCTAGGCAGGGCCAATAATAAATAACTAATCATGAGCAATCAGAACGTATCAGGAACATTCAGGACAGTTCGGAACCCAAAATTAATCATATTTATTTGATGTTTCACGGATGTTCATTCAATTTCATGTGAATTCAATTGAATTCATATGAAATATTGTGAGTATGATTGAGTATGTTTGATGTCATCCTTGGTTGTTTAATATATATAGTTGTGATTGTGTTTCATGTATTTATTTACTCAACAATCTAAAACAACTCAATGTGTAATGCATCATAGAACAACTCCTACCTGGGTATCACTCCACCTTTCACAAGATGATTTTGAAGATCCAAATCTCATAGCTATACATTATAAATGATATATTTTTATCATATATTAGAATTTTCTGACGGCAGTAAACACATATTTAAACACATATTATCAGCAAAAGACTAGCTTGTTCTTTGGCCGCCAAGTAGATGCCTTGCCACATTCCCATCAAATCCGCCCCAGCGTCGTTGATAAAAACCATTTTCGCAGTTGCAGTCGTAGCTGCCGATCAAATCTAAACCTCCCAGGCGAGTCGACTTTTAGGTCAGGTCAGAAGTGACGCAGATTGGATTTGGAACATATTTGAAGAGTCAGAGGTGAAGAAATAGGAATCTGAAAAATGGATCTTTTTCGATGTGATACTTTTCCCAGTTCCATGATGTAACCCCGTTTGATTGGCTGTCAGCTAATCATTGGGCCTTCTGTTGGATTCCAACTATACCTTAACCCATTACCCAATTAGGTGTGGTTGATGGTGTTTCCCAATTTATGTGGTCTTGCAATTATAAGAACATGATAACCAGTTGAGCAGTTAGCAAATACCCAGAATACATGCAGTGGAAAACTCATGGGTTGGCTAAGATCCAAACTGCTTCATCCCACACATCATCGGTGTTTACCCCAAATATTTATCCATGATCCAACCGTTCATGCCCTTCAAAAACATTTTAAAAACATTAAAAAAAAACAATGTCTATACAATTGTCTATACTCCAATGGGAAAATGATAATCAACATTGATCAACCATGGGATTTAGATGGATTTTGGGGTATATTTTCAGACAAACCAACTCTTCAAGGCGTCAAGGCACATAAACCTAAGGCGCCGCAACCGTGCTTCAGTTTGGCGCAGTCGTCAATATTTTTGCAGTACCATTTCTGAGCGGCCAGCAAGCGGAAT